CGAGCGAGCGGCAGCGGGAGCGAGTAGTAGTAGTTGTAGGGGAAGGGGAGGGGGGAGATTGCGAGACGGCATCGGGTGATGGGAGGGGGAAGGCATCTGGGTCTGGGTGGAGTGGTGGGTCGCTGGCGGGCGGGGCCCCGGGCCAACACGCGCACAGCGTTGGATCGATGGACGGATTCGTCGCGCCCATCTTTATCACCAGACAAACTTCGCCATCCAGTTACAAATCTTGCGCCCACCACCCCAGAAATCCCCGCAAATTAAATAAAAATGCTATGCGGGATGGGGGCTCTGCTACGTCTGACTCCTTCTCCGTGCGCTGCGGCCGTGTGGCCCTCTCTGTGGCTTGCAGTGCTCATGGGAAAAATGGATTCCAAGACTTTGAAGGTATTGCACTGTTGAGGGCCTCTATGAATCGAAGGAGTCTTTTAATCCTTGGGGATTCTTTTTCCGTGCTGGTCGTTTAGTTTGTAGGATTGAATCCAACACAAATATTTGCCAAGGATTCATTTGTATTCATTCCAAGGAATTCTAGTGTCCACTGAAAACCTCATGAAAAGGATCCACGTTTTTCCGGCGATGCAACCAAACCAAAAACCGTGCATGATTCAAATGGGCGTAACTTTGCAATCTTTTCATTTCATGTGTTTCTAGAATCATGTGAATCAAAGATGCCCTAACTTGTCTATCGATGACCGAATCTAACAACCAACATTTTGACCTATCTACATGATTTTGTCTCGCATGACACGTACATAGCTAATGCGACACACGGTTATGATACGGGTCAAGCCATAGGGATGGTCAATATTCATGATTGGAGGCGGATTCAAGTAACAAAACGATGAATAGAAGGGGAAAAACGGGGAGGGGGGATAAAAAGAGGTAGGCACAAGTCAATAATATTCACCACCAATATCCACTCATAACTCAAGTTAATACAAAAGAACCGTTAGATCCAACAAGCAAACTAGAGAAAGCAAATAACATTAGGACCCACTTGAGTTGGCGGTGTGTGCATGGTGATGACCATGGGATGCTCCGCGTCAGTTTAGCTATGTCATTCATCTTGTACAGTGACTATTATTTTGTCATTGACCATATCTTGTTAAATACGCGCTATGTCATTCTAATCCGCTGGAGACCATTTTCACATGCAGATCATTGATCAATGTGATCGGAGTTCTTGTGTTCTATCTCTCACAAATGTATTCTTTTTGGAGGACAAATTATCATCGACTCAAGTCTTTTAGATCGTGTACTTATGCCACACATGTTATTAAGAAAGACACACTATCTCTTGGTGTTAAGTCTAACTATTAATGCTTGCATGCTCCTAGATATGTGGGTTGATTAAAATTAATATTGAAAAATATATAGCTAAATATGACAACTAGTACCACAACATGTATAATTGTCTTATCTTCTCCACGAAGAGATCATCTCTCGACTAAGATAAGGCAACCTTTTTTTAAATAGCATTGTTGTAATTGCCATTGCACCTCCCTTGTTTCTCTCAATGTTTTTTTCCTTTGCAAGAAGACTCCTTATTTTCATGATATATCAACCACTCTTTGGTGCTAATTCATTTTTTCGCAATAGCTATACTATATAAGTTGGCTCAATTTTGTGGGAGAAGAAATAGTTGAAAGAGAGAAAAACCTGGAGGAAGAAGAAAGAAAGATGACCATTGGATCCTATCTAATGGCTCAGATAATCGACTTGCCCAAAACTAATATGACAAAGACCCTCGCTAGCCTTATAACATTGCACATAGAGCTAACGGTAAAATTAACACTCTTAGTAAGAGTCCAAACAAATCTACCATGCTCAGTTGTGAGCTTCACATCCACAAGGCATTTTCAACAAATCCCACAAAAAAGCCATAACACTTTGCAAAAAATCACAAATAATTTTATCGTACACTTTCTCAAAATCAACTTTAAACGCTAGACCAATTTTCTTCTACGATTTAACCTCGTGTAGAATTTCATGCAAGAGAACCACTCCGTCCATAATAAGCATCCCCTTCACAGATGTGGTGTGGACCGAGGAAATCACTTTCTTGGCTACAGATATAGCCCAGTCATCAACTACCTTGGCAAAATAATTTAAAAGGCAAATTAATCAAGCACATAGGTCTGTTTCTGCATCGGTAATTTAGGCAGAACAGAAATGACCTCATAGTCAAATCTAGCAATATCCATTCCACCATTATAAAACTCATAAAACAGAACCAATCAGGCCACCACTAACCAAACCCCAAAATACACAACAGGCCTAAATAAACACCGAAATAGTGATTGATCTAAACAGATCATCAGTTGTGTTTGCTGCACATATTTGTCAAAAGCCACAAGTCGGCACACTGGACCCGGCGGTACAGAAAACGTAGCAGGGATGGGCTATACCGGATTGGACCCCGACTCCCACTTATTTTTCTCTATTCTTTCTGAAAGAAAACCTTACTGTATTTCTGTTTATTTATTATTCTTCTGGCGCGCATTATCATTTTCCACCCCGCGCGCGTACAGTTGCCGTGGGCCACCAGACTTTCAGAGACGGCTGAGCTGCCGTGGGCCACGGGCGGATCCCACGCAGGCCTCACGATTCGTGCAGCCGATCCTGGTAGGTTCACGAGGCCTGGTAGTAAACCTTATCGCGGAGGCAGCGCCATGTGCTTCTTCCCTGTGGGGGGTCACCGCGGGGATACCACGAGTCTTCGTGGACCAGAGCTGCTGCCCGGGTGGGGCCCGCGCCCGGTCCACGGTGCACCGCCCGAGCCGGGGGAATAATTTCCGCCGTACAACCACAACAGAGGAAGTGTGGCGGGGAGGAGTGAAAAATCGCTCCGGTGGCGCGCCCTGTGCGTGACTGTACGGGAGCACGGACCGGATAATCGCTACGCCCACCCGCCCGCTCGTGTGGTACGCGCGGCGCGAACCAGTCGTGCCGGCTCATGCATATCCGTTTGAGTGACTGAATACATTGGATACTTGGTGATGCGAGCCGATCCTCCTTTTGGAGAGGAATTTGGCCGTATATAATCAATGGACCAAATCGGTGGACCTTGAGGTCATCGTGTTATACGTATGTGCAGTTCGAATTCCGCTACAAATAACCAAATAAATAAAATACGTTGCTGCATTTTTCTTGAACACGTTTGCTATTGGCAAGTGGCGTCGAAGCCGTTGTAAGTCATTTGTTTTCAAAGAAGAATGGGAGGCGAGGCGAAGATAAGAGGCCGAGTCAGGAGCAGCCCATAGCCAGGGCCAATGCGACAAGATGTAGGGTACAAGAAAAGTGGTGGAGGTTTTAGAGGATGCTCCGGCGAGAGAGGGCCGATGACAGCGGCACGCTTTTACCTCGCTTCAGTGGTTGTAGTCCCTTCTAGTTGGTCCAAATACCTAGATGTAATTTTTACTTGTAGTGTTCTTCATACTACTTTAACAACTGATGAATAGACTCGAAGTTTTTTCCGAAAAAAATTACATCACCGGTATTTCAGTTGACCTGATGTTAATGGTACCTTAGAGTGTGTCCAATGCGGGGTGCTAGCCAAGGGTGCCGGATCAGGCCTTTTTCACTATTCTGATCCTTTAAACAAACTTTGTCACAAAATGAACTCGACGTGAAGTATTTCATGATCTGACCCTTTTAGCAACGCCACAGCCCGCGGCGTTTCTGCCCAACATAGAAACACCGAGGTAGCTAGCGTTGCGGACCAGATAAGAAACGCCGAAGGCGCTGGCGTTGCTGCCCATCATTGAAATGCCAATGACCATGGCGTTGCTGCCCTCTTTGGACATAATTAATTAGCCTTATTAATTAGGCTGTTCAAAGGGTCAGAATAGTGATTTCGGCCGCCAGATCAATTTCCTGATCGACGAGCAGTTAGGCCGTCGAATCCTCGCGCCAGGTGCAGCTCGGCGCAAGAAGAGGAACCGGGTGCTCGTGCTTTTCTTCACCACGCAAGATAAGACAAGCATTGCAGAAGCAAGTTCTCTATAACAAGCGTCTAGCATTGAGACAGATGATTTTATGACTGCATTCCGTTCGGAATTAGTTGACGCTCAAACGGTTGATCGGAAGATACATTTTCTTAAGCGCCTATACAAGCGAGATCTGCGTTGACGATTGCGTTAAGAGATATCTTAAGGCTGCGCTTGGATGCGGTGTATGGGAAGGTGTCAAATTTACAAGCGTATTTTTTTGTACGGCTGATTTCCGGATGGAA